TCTCCTTTAAAATAGGCACAATTCTTGTATTTATGTAAATCAATGGCAAGAACTTTTCTGCTTAGTTTGTCTCCTGTGGGATTCATTTACGGTCCTAGGATCGGACAAGTTAACATAAGTCTGCAGGCAACTAAAAGTGTTGGTTGCAGGTGTAGCCCATAAAATCTTCCCACCCATACATAACTCTCTGGTTATGTGGGATCATATAATGAAAAAATAATTCCCACACTATTTTTTTTTATTTGATTTATATGCTGCCCTTCTCCGGAGACTCAGGGTGGCTTACAATGTGCTAAGCAATAGCCTTCATCCTTTTGTATATTTATACAAAGTCATCTTATTGCCCCCACAACTGGGTCCTCAATTTACCTACCTTAGAAAAGATGGAAGGCTGAGTCAACCTTGAGCCTGGCGAGATTCGAACCTGCAGTAATTGCAGGCAGCTGGTCTTAATAACAGGGTGCTTTAGACCACTGTACTACAAAGGCTCTTTAATGAATTAATACTGTGAAATGTAACATTTTTCATAGCTTTCTCCTGGTGTTGCATTTCAGAACTTTTTCATCTTCTCAAGAAATCTCCCTCTCACAGACACTTTCATACCACATCAGCCTCTAATCAAGGACTACCCATAAAGCAAATATTTTATTTTTCCCAAAAGAGATACCCATTGTGATACTTGAGATCCTATTGCGCAAGAAGAGAAACTGGACATGGAACAGGAAAAACACTACTTCCAAATTCCTTATATGAAAGCTGCTTAGAACATTCTTTATCTTCATAGTTTGCCCTTTAGTCACGTTTGGAATTTGCTTTCATTGGTTTCAACATAAACTCTAATAGGCAGGATACTCTGATGGACATCCCGCTGAAGTATCTTGAGTCATGAGATATACTGTATGTGTGGGAATTGAGATTTAATCTGGACACCAGAAACACAGCTGGTCTTTACTTCTAAAAAAAAAAAAGTATGAGATTGAGCTGAAATTCTTAAGCAATATCATCTCTCTAATTTTGATCATCATGATCCTCTGTGTCTGTATGGACCAACTTTCCAGAAAATTAGTTTTGTTAACTAATTACTATAGTCTGTCGAACATGATAGGATAGGAATGTTGGTGGGTTTTGGAAATAAGGGGAAGAGCATCACTAACAAAAGATTTATTCTTATTCAACACTGATCTACAATATGGATGTCTCTTTGCTTTTCATTTTAATATTTCTAGATGTCAAATGAGAATATAGAACACCGGGTAAAAAATGTTTATTTTTAGCCTGTAAACAAAGCTTTGATTGAAGAGCACAAGAAGATTGGGCAGCCCTTTAAAAAAAGAGGTTGTGGAGATAACTGGACATACAAAGATTTTTTTACAAATAATTAAAGATAGCCATTTTTAGATAACAAGAATTCTATTCAGGTATAACCATGGTTAGAATATGTTAGCCATTTATAACCACAATAATTAATGAACTACGTGCCAATGTATTAATGCCAGTAAAATAAGTCTAGCTCATTGTGTCAGATATTATACAATGCTATGCTGTAGGGATAATAAATACTTTTTATTTATTTAATTTCTATAGCCACCCATCTCAACTGGTGAGTGAAATATATCATAAAAATGAACAATAAAACAATTAGAACAGTTCAGAATAAATATATATGGTTGCTGAGTAGGACTACTGCCATACATGTTGATATATCCAAATAAACAGGACCCTTAAAATACTTGATCTGGCCCCAAAACCAGGTCTTCATGGACTTATGAAAAGCTATCAGGGTCAGAGTCATTCTTATTTCTGAAAAGAGAAGTTCCAGAGGGAGTTCAGAAGAGAAGGCTTATCTCCTAGTCCCTGCAGCTAACATCTCTGAACTGAAGGGATTTGTAATTTGCCCAATCTGATGGACCAAATTGGACAGGTAAAAAACTGGGAGAAGACAGTTTCTCAGGTAATCTGGTCCCAAGCCACCAGAAGCTTTAACCAGAACCCTGAATTGCACCCAGGGACACTCTGGCAAGCAATGCAGCTCACACAGTAGTGGTTTTACATGTGTCAAATTTACTACCCAGTGCAGCTGCATTTTGCACTAATTGAAGCTTCCAAAAATTTTCAGGGCAGCCCAATGTAGACTGTGTTGCAGTAATACAGACCAAGAGGTCAGGAGGCCATGAATAATTGTGAGCAAAGCCTCCCAGACTAGGAATGGGTGCAACTGGTGCACAACCTGGAAGTATGCAAAGGCCCTCCTAGCCATGGCTGCCACCTTCTCTTCTAGCAGAAGCCGTGAATCCAGGAGGACCCCCAAATTGTGCACCTTGTCGATTTGGGACAATGCCATCCCATTCAGGATCAGAGGTAGAAAAACCTTATCATCAGAATGCCTAAAGATCCAAAGCCATTGCATCCTATCCAGGCCCCTGGACAGGACATCCACAGCATCGTTCAAGCCCATGGTGGAGCTATAAAGCTGGGTTTTCACATATTGATACTTCACTCCAAACCATCGGATCACCAAGATTCCATGATTGATGGTATCCAAGGCTGCTGACAAGTCAAGAATAGCAAGGATGGATGAACTACTCCAATCCTACTCTGACCAGAGGTCATCCAAGAGGTGACCCTCCCAGTCAGCCTTAATCAGCCAAAAGGGCACAGATGTAATATTGGTCAAGCATATGTCCACTATTATGTATTTTATACAGTTTATTTGGGCGAATGACTATGTATGAAAAATGCATTATACATGACTGGGTCAGAGGCATAGATTTTTTTTATAGAACAATAATGGAGAACCTTTTGGGATCCGCATGTCAAAAATGTGAAAATACCTAACTTGACTCTGCTGAGACAGGTAGATTTCCTATGAATTGGATAAAATTGAGGTATCAAGGTATATGAAAAGTGCTAAAGTGGAATAAATGCTTACAAAGGCTGACCAAGCCTTGCTGGAATGTATAGTAATATGTAGTTCTTGGATGCTGTAGTGTTCTGTGCAGGCGTCTCACCACATTTCTGGAACTCCAGGCTAATCTGGACACCTAGATTTTAAATTGGGATTTTAAATTACTTTTAGTTCAGAAAATAAACAGTTGTACTTGTGAAAGTTGATTTCTACATTTGAGTTTCTGGAGCAAGGTGCAACTGGTACTGGCATCTGTAACAAACCTGAATGGTGTCAAAATGATGACATGTTATATCTTTGCATGTATTAAGTTTATCCTTTGTGCATCATGACACAAGTACAATGCATGACATTTGCAGTGGGTTGACTGAATGATACAGCATTAGATAAAGATTGTAACAAATCCTTGTCTTGTTAAAAAGCAATCAAACAAAAAAGTTGATGTGCATATGGTATGGAAATCTATTGGGATTAGTCCGATGTTTTCTAAACTTGGCAATTTTAAGATGTGTGGACTGGCTGGGGAATTTTAGGAAGTGAAGTTCACACGTTTTAAAGTTGCCAAGTTTGAACACAGAACCCTGGACTAGACAAAGAACCCTGGACTAGAACAAAGAAATTCTGGATATCCTAGGTAGAAATAAATAAGTATGTGCCTGTCATATGCTCCTTACCTATGAGAAGGTTCATCCTATTTTTAAAGGGTCTTTTTTCTACTTCATTTTGGGGACGGGGGGGTGGAGAGAAATGGAAAGTCCCTGATGGGGTTTATTACAGAGAATGTGCATGAATCCAGATCATGGTTTTGTCCTTTTTAACATTTTCTGGCCTTAATAATAGTAAGAGCTAAAAAGGCTATTGTACTGCTTTATTTGATTCCTTTGGTTATGTTTCCCTTTGTCTTATTTTATCATATAAATAAAGGCAAGTAAGAATTCACAAAAAAGTAGGTTGTGCAAATCCAAATCCTTTTGTAGGAACTGCTAATTTCCACATAGCTTTAAATAGGTCGAAGTGGTCCATGGAGTTGAGCTAATTCTATTCTCCCTTTTTAGACCAGTCGGAGTAAACCCTGCTTTACATAAAGACTTTTTAAAAATATTCCTGCATCAAAACAGCACAGTTGTGGCATTTATAGTGTTTGTTTGGAAAGGCCACTTAGCCACCCACGAGGCTCACAAATAGCCTCTGACTCAAATATCCAGGGTGCTTTGAGTGAGTTTATAATGTAAATTTGTTGTCCTTTTGACAGCAATGTCCAATGCCTCCTGTAAAGGTCGAAAAGAGGACAGGAGTATTAATTATAACTGATTTAGTGGTTTCCAATGTTAGTCACCTGTTGACATCCCAGCCTTGATAATAGCCTTCTGTAGCTTTCTTGCATACCCTTGTTTTCCCGCTGCCATAGTCTGGGTCGGTACTTCTTCCTAGCATTTCATCAGTGATATAGCCTATGTCTTAGCAGAGACAACTCTTGCTGCTGGTTGATAGCAACGATAAGGGTGTGACATCAATATGCCAGTGATCTCACTGTACATTCAGGACTGGATTTACAAGCACTTTCAGCAACTATGCCTAGGAAGACTTGATATGTCTGTTTCATATGGAGAGATTTATGCCCCTAATCCCACCTTCCCCAAACAAGAATCTTGCTGGGGTATTCGACTGCAACACAATAATCCCCATTTCTCCTGTCCATTCCAACTAGAACTGAAAAGTACTCACTTCTTAATATGTCTTGTATACCTGATCTTTGCGAACACTTATCTTTGTAATCAGATGTCTATAGTTTTGCAAACAAAATATGATATATTTTCAGATCATTGCTTATCTAAACAACACACACACACACACACACACACACACACACACACACACACACACACAAACAAAAACCCAAAACCCAAGGAATAAGTCTAAAAGTAAATTCCAAACATTTGGAAGAAAGCAGGTAATCTTAATTTATTTTTATGTTGGTTGAATTCTACAGCTAGAAGAGCTGGAAATAATGCTGTAATTTCCTGATTGTATACCCCAGTAGAAATAAAATCTGAACAATATTGTCCTGACTCTTCTCTCTTCTTTTCCTTTCCAGAATGGCTGCAATCTGTTCAAGCTTTGATGATACTTTCTGTCATCTTCAGTGTTAAGTCTTTATTCCTGTTCTTCTGCCAGCTCTTCACACTCACTAAAGGTGGACGTTTCTACCTTACTGGTATTTTCCAGATCCTTGCTGGTAAGTAGAGGGGACAAAAATGTGTGCTTTGGAATGCTTGCAAAGGGAAGAAAGTCATGGCTGATAATAGAAAGCAGGATGACTCCATTCAAGCAGGAGTCTCTTGCAGCCTCTTACAACTTGGTGTTCTCCAAATAGGTTGCATTACGTGAATGCATCATCTTGAGCCAATTTCAGTAGCTTGCTAACAAAACACCCTTGTGTATCCACTTTGAAATGTGCTCTTAATTCAAGAGGATTTTTCTTCCACATAAAAATATAAGATTTCAACTACAGTTGCTAATTGGATATGGATAATAGACCTGGAGATTCAATAGTTAATATTCTCCTTTAGCATTTCTATTTGAATATTTTGGTGCTGATATATGGCGGTTAGACTGGACCTAAACACCTGTTAACCAATGTATACTGGACTAGTGTGATAAATTTAAATCTATAATTTTCACTGAAGAAATAATCCTGCAGTGAATTCATTTGGGATGATAACAACAATAAGAACAAGATGCAAGTTTTTCTTGTATCATCTTTTTCAGTATTTTGTATTGTGAAAGAAAACAGTAGTTTTTGCTCCATTGTAAGTGGGTCATCCCATCTCGGTATCTTATAGTAATAGATTTTCAGAGAGTTTTTAAATCCATGAAACTAAACATGTGCTTGGAGTTACCAGTATCTTACAGATTTTTATTCCTCCTGCCTCTGTTTGCACCCTTGCCAAAACATCTTGCATAAAACCCAATAAGAAAATTCTAGTGTCTCTATTGAAATGGACATTCAAATGAATTAATTTGAGAACTATTTAAAATAGGAATCAAACCAACAAGCTGAACAATGTTCAGCTATGGAATTTATATACAGTATATTTACTGGCCAATTAAAAATAGAAATAAATTGCCAGCCAAAGCTAAATTTTAAGGGAAAAAAATGAAATCTTGAAATAGCTATTTCTTTCCTTGTCTTTTAATACCAAGAACCATTACGCTGTCCCTCCCAAAAAATGCAGTTTAATTTCCTTTGAAGATGTTTCATCATACAGTATTAAGACATAAATATAGATCTAGGGAAGAAAAATTGAATTGGACTAGACTGATAACTATCTGTTTAGGAGAACATGTAAACTGAATAAAGTCTCCCTGCTTACATAGTAGAAGGAACAACATTTATCCAATGTACCTTCCTGCAATATTCTGGGCCAGTAATTAAATCTGTTGTATTAAAATGAGTTGAATATTATATGGTTGTTTTCCCTACTCTGATGCCTTACACATACATTGGGCTGCGTCTCCCATACATTGGCTTTTTTTCAGGGCAGACTTCCCAGCTATTATATTCCATTTTTCAGCCTTGAAGTACTATCAAGCATAAGTTGCCAATTCAGCCAATGAGTTTGCTTATGATAGGATCTGGCTGAGAGTGTTATGTGCTGCTCGGTACACTTTGTGTCACAAGCCAAGTTCTGTGTTGACTATCTTCATCTCCTTGTGCTCCAATCTAGCTATGGTTGAACATTCCATGTTTCTGTCCTTAAAAAGATTAGTTTGTTTGTTTGTTTGTTTGTCTGTTTATTTATTTCTCCAGAATGGGAGCTGCCTTGGCTTAGATAAATTTACTTCCTCCCACCCCACCCAAAAAAAGGAGGGTAGGAAATGTATGGTTTTTCAAAATTCCTGGTGATGCTTCTTTGTAGCATTCCTCAGATGGTAGGGAGATGATGGTTCAGTTGTGACCATTCTATCCATACCTTGCAATCATTGCTGGAATTATATATTGCTCAAAAAAATAAAGGGAACACAAGCAGAAGACATCCGAGATCTGAATGAATGAAATAGCCTTATTAAATACTTTGTTCTTTACATACAATAGTTTATACACTGCTCAAACAACTAAAGGGAACACAAAACTACTGTATGTAACGAACGAAGTATTTAATAAGGCTATTTCATTCATTCAGATCTCGGATGTCTTCTGCTTGTGTTCCCTTTATTTTTTTGAGCAGTGTAGAATGTTCATGTTTCTTTGTAGTAGGATTAAGACTGGCCCTCACCCATATTTTTCCTATTTGCAATTTCATAGACAGGATTAATGTGAGGGAATGAAACTCAGTTTCTCTTGGGTGGAATATCTGAAAAGCATCTATGGGTGGAGTCAGTGAGGCAGCACTGGTTTCAAGCCATCTACTATTTTATTTGGAAAAGCTTCTGCCCCAAAGCAACCTTTTGTTCTATGACTCAGCCTAGGAAGAGCAATGGTACAGTGGTTGATTGGGAGTGATGTGGTTGCTGTGTAATTCAACCCCTGTGCCGAAAGGAACAGAATGTTGAGAGAGAGTCGTCTGATTTTGCTCCATATACAGTGTTTTCCCAGAAGAAACAAAGTGGATTCAGATAATCTGAAGAGCACATATGCATGTATAAGCTATCTGGTGGAAGAATGGGGATGGAAATAAGATCAGAACTAAGCACCTGACTTTTTAGAACATTTGCTTCTGTAATTACTATGTGTGAAATTAAGTGACCTTTATGCAAAAAAAGCCTTGATGCTATTAAGCATCAGGAGACAATAGCTTCTTTGACTTTGGTAAGGGGTTATGTGACTGAGATAACAGTCTCAAATTATGAGCATGATATTTTTAATTTTATTTGACTTTGAGACCACCCAATTCCATCTCTAAGCAGCTCATGGAATAAAAAAATAATACAAAATATAGTAAAAGGGAGCAAGGAAGAGCATATAGTAGTAACAAAATGGCAGAGCCAGACAACAACACAAACGTGTCAAACACCCACAAGGAACTCCAGCCACCATAGCCCAATGGCCCTCCCCTTTTGGAATCCAAACACAGGCAGTTCCTGAGTTAATATTGTCTAACGTAAGGACAGCCTCTAGATATGAACAGGCTGCATATTATTATGGCAGATGGTATTCTCCTTCCTCAAGCCAACAAACTGCTGAAGTTTTGAGTTTTTAATATACAGCCTATTTTCAGCAGTGTCCAATGGTTCCTAAAAGCATTGTGTGGCTTCAGCGATTTGTCAGATGAAGGAAGGACAACATTGTCCACCATTTTAATAAAAGGCAGCCCATTTGTAAGTATGAATTATGACTTACACATATTTGAGTGAAAGAGTTAGAAACAGAGCTGGTTCTTAACTGGGGACTTCCTGTATTAAATTATGAGTTTGGATCACCTGACATTATAAGTAATATTAATTCTGTTCTTTTTAAACATTCATTTTTTCCATTAGCAATTTAATAATCCAGGTAGGAGAACTTGGCAGAAATGTGATGAAAGAAATCCCTCTTCTTAACTTTGCAACCAGTAAGATGAAAGTCTTAGACCAAAAACCAAATTTTAAAAATTCCCTTGACTTTTATTTGAGTGTTCCCCAGCTCAAATCTATGCCTCATAACTTATGCACAAAGATATTCACAGCTCCAGAATCCTTATTTGATTGCTTCCATACAAGGATATTCAGAATGGGAGAAGCTAATTTGTGATATAAGAAGGGCCCCAGTTGAAAGAGCAAGGGGACAGAATGCCAGTGGAAAGATGACTGACTAGCATGCTGATAAAATGGAAGTAATCTGTCAATATGTGCTTCCAGTTTTGCAGCAATAGTTAGAGAAATATGAGAGGTGAATTTCAGTACTGCTATGGATCTGGAATAGAGGCCCGCAGCCTTTGCGTTGCATATACTCCTAGAACTACTGCAGGAAAATAATCCCAAGTGCTACCTTTTGCAAGCAAGAAAGTATATGACACCCACCTGCCCAGTGAAACACCTTTCCCCACCCCCCTCAACCCAGGCCAAAACTGAAGTTGAGTATTTCTGCTTAAAGTTACACATCCTTTCTCTGCTGCCCTTTCCACAGACAATCTCTGCCTCTCTTCTCTAAAGACTGTAGATTATTTATAAAATGGCCATTGCTCTGCTTTATTCCATTCCACCCAAGCAGAGAGACAATAGGTTTTGCTTGCAGAATGTGGGCTCTGTTTGTGGGTGTCCACTTGCTGGCCCAGAGAATGGGAGCTACATCAGCAGTTCATGAATTCAACACCTTCCTACTCATGCATTTTCTGCAAACAAAGGGGACAGTGTAGAGGGAAAGAAGGGCTCAAATATGACTGCGTTGAGGTGTAGGTGGTCCTGAGGCACATTGTAGGAACAGAAATAACTGGTGGCCCAGAGAGCAGGTTGTGGAATTGCAGAGATCAACGGAAAAGCCTTGTTCTGGACCATGAATAGAAGGGGCATTGTGTAGTCCTGGCAAACTCTGATGCTGGGCTTTCAGAAAAAGCAAAAGGGGTGAAAAGCCCATCGAGCTGGTGTTGCTGAGCTGGCAGTACAAAAAAGCTGACCTTAGTGACATTACTACACAGGGGCCCGATTTGAGCAGCTTAAATGTTGATCTCAGGAGCTTAGATACTGGAGGCAGCAGGATGGAAAAATAGAAAAGTCAGGCTTGGCTTTACTGGTTATGATAAGGTAGGATTAACTACTGCGCTGGGGTTTGCAGAGCAGAGCTCCAACCAGATTGGAGTCCCTACTTAAAGGTAACAACCTCAACTTAAAAAGAGCACCTATCTATCTGCTGAACAAATGAAGAGTTGTTTTTTTTTTCAACTGAACAGTACAGAGTATCCTCTACATTACAGCACTAGGTCATCGGTAACTGCTGGGACAATTGGGTTGACCCTAAAGAAAATTTGGATGTTTTGAAAAGAGGGCAAAAGATAATGATGCCTTAAACATGGCTGCCAACTTCCTACCATTTCTTGAAGTCAAAGGGTTGGAATTGAGGGAAAGAGGAAGTTTCTTAAACCAAAGCATCTTCTTTCTTGTTCTTCGGTCTCTTAATCATGGACTTGGTTGGTTGCTCATGTTATCTCTCTCTCTTTCTCTCTTCTGCATTAGGCCTGTGCGTGATGAGTGCTGCGGCCATCTTCACCGTGAGGCACACAGAGTGGCATCCCTCCACAGACAACGTCTCCTTTGGCTTTGCCTACATTCTGTCCTGGGTGGCTTTCCCGCTGGCTATCCTTAGCGGGGTGATCTATGTCATCTTGAGGAAACGCGAGTGAAATGTCAAGGGAGGTCACTGAGACTTAGAGCCCTCAGGACAAGAGGTGTTGGCAAAATAGAAAATGAAAAACCAAACACTTTCTCCCTCCCCCCCCAAACCACCAACCCCATCCACTCCCTTGCCCCTTCAAAACCCACAAAGATATTAAGGGGAAAAAAAGGAAGAAAGAGAGCTGAAAGAAGGATTACTGTATTCATTGGAGATGTATATAGTATCTATGGTTTAAAAAGCCTATTTATAACACTTTTTACATATATGTACAGAGTACTGTTTGCTTTTGTTTGTTGACCTGCCACCATGTCTAAAGCCTAAAAAAGTGCCTAAGAACTCTTAACTCCTAACAATGTAATGAGAATGCCGCTTTTTCCTCCCTATCTTTATGCTGTGGAAGCAAGCGGATCCCTCCTCCAAAGCTTTCCACTGTCAACCTCAAGCCAAGCCCAGTTTGAGAACCCTCCATCTGGCCCCTCCAGCTAAGTATGGTCTTGTACCCTGGCACCTGCCTTAGCCCATGTCTGCATTATGGCCCTTTTAACCAAATGATGGAGACCAAATGCTATACAGAAAGGGGAGGAACTTCTACCTGAAAGCAGATGGTGTATTAAGGGTGGGCGAGCCCAGCTTCTCAACTGCTTGGGATGATAACCAAGTTGTGGAGGATTGAATGAGGTACATTGCCTCAGTGATGCAACCCAAAGCTCTTTGCCACTGTTATCATCACCTAAAGCCACCTGGTATGATCACCCGAGTTCCTTGTAGGACAGAGGTGATGCAAAGAACCTGAATTAGGCCTCAGTCTTGGGAAGGAAGGAAATGTTTGCATATCTTAGATCAGCCAAGGCTAGCACGGAAGCTGAGTTAGTTGAAAGGGACACTATGGGCGGGATGATGATCTCAAATAAAAACCTCTGAGATTTTTAACTAGCTTAGTGGTTCTCCTTCAGCTATGCCACCTGATCTTCAGAAAAGACTTTCCTCTGTTTCCTGGAGAATAAGCAAAAGTGAAAAAGTTGAATGACGCTTTCTAAGCTCTATGGTTCACCCTCGTCCCTTTCCCAAGATCCTCTGAAATCAAATACCAAATACGTGAAATGGTGCTATCTATTTACCATTCCTTATATCGCTAAGCCATTTAACCGTTGCTCACTGGAAATTGCGGTAACCATTTTGAGAAAAGCCAAGGAATAGGAATGATAAATAATTCTGTGTAATATATACAACCTATAACTGCTTTTGTATGTAGGAAAGTCGCTATCCATTATTATTATTACTATTTTTTTAATAAAGCACTTATAACCAAGGATTTTTTTTTTCTTGTTCCCTTCATGGGCAGAAGGGAAGTAAGCAACCTGTAGAGCTTACAGAATCTGCTGCCTCTCCCCCCAAAAAAGCTGCCTCTGTAACCTTTTTCTGTGCTTCCAGAGATGTCTGGGAATGAACTGTACAGGTGACCAGAGCAGTAAAGGCAATGCCGTCTAATCCTAAAACTCCAGGCTTTATTATGCAATTATTTCTCTTTGCTTTTCTGATTTTATACCAGCTGTGTGGACTAAGAAGCAACAAAATAAAAGCCAGAATAACTCAAGTGCTTTGGCTTATATTGCATCTCAATCAATTGTTCTCAATTAGCCTTTTGACAAACTAATGACCTTCTTCACACAATGTGCTATAGGCTATGTTGGGGTTTGCTTAGTTTTAATTAATAGATGTTGGAAACGAATGAATTTGTGCTTCATTTAGTAAACCAAGACTAAGCCAATCCTAATGGATGTGGATTGGTATAGAAGATTTATTTGGTGCAACTTCTAGTTTTATTGATGGACTGTATAAACAGATTTGCATACTCCCATTAAGTCACAGTTTTATTTCATAATATTTTACAAAACAAATCATAATTGTCTACATTCCCATCAAATATCCAAAATCAAACCAATCAGACCAGCTAGGCATCCTTATTTGTGGCTTACATTTTCTAGATCCATTCAACCACCATTGTGCTTAATACTGAGGACAGATGGACTTCATCATTATTGATTGAAGATGCTATAAAAACATTCATGTACAAAGAAATAACCCACTTTGAATTTTAGCAGAAGTGGTCTGATTTTGAATCCAAAATTCTGTGAATGCCAGTGCCTCAAACCTCCATTAACAAACTCATTATTTGTCTTCCACATTATGAGAAGACGCCCTCAGTATTTGAGTATTTAAAGGGCTACCAAGCCCTTTAATCCCAATTTAGGATACCCATTAACCAGAGAATGGTGTAGCTTGGTTAGCATTCATAGAATCCCTACCTGCATATATCTCTGCATTCTGTAAAGCTACTCTGTTAATTTTAAGGGCATTCTTTTAATTTTCAAATTCAAGGCGATTTTAGATATTTTGAAACTCTTGATACAAGACTACCACAGACTTATAGACACTATTAATACAGCTGTTGTATGGGGAGCTTGTGCTTGTAGATGGATAACAAGCCTACATCGGCAAGCCCCATCTTAACTTTAAGCATTTTCCTGACTGGATTAGCTGAATTTCTTGCTTCCTAAAAGGCACTGATAGTGTTTGTAGGACGCTAGGAATATACTGACTCATGTGAAGACCATATTGACAGTCTTCTCAATTGGTGTAGATTAGGAGTTTCACAAGTTTTGTGAAAGATTCTGCACTTCCTGAGATAACCACAAGGGCACCTAGTGATCAGCTTTATCTTTTCTCCCTTTTCCAGGAGAAGTGGAACGAAAGAACTGAGGGAAAGGGAACTGTTCAGGGGTGCTATTCAGCAGGTTCTGACAGGTTCTGGAGAACGGGTAGCGGAAAATTTGAGTAGTTCAGAGAACTGGCAAATACCACCTCTGGCTGGCCCCAGAGTGGGATGGGAATGGAGATTTTGCAATATCCGTCCCCTGGAGTGCGGTGGGAATGGAGATTTTGCAGTATCCATCCCCTGCCACGCCCACCAAGTATCAACAGAACCGGTAGTAAACAAATTTGAATTCCATCACTGGAACTGTTGCATGTTCACAAATCATTTCAGAAAAGGTTGACAAAAGTATTAAAACCAGTCACCCTCCCTGGGCAGGTTTTAGCAGCTTGTTCCTATTAAAAAGATTTGGTGTGGGAGAAATCATCCAACTCACAGGACTCCAAGTAGAACAGCATATATGTCTGAAACTAGGATTCAGAGCTTCTTCTTTTTTTTTTAGGCCATGTGGGAAGATCAAGATGAGAAGAAATCAGGCAATTAAGATTCAGAAGTATGGCTCAACAGAAAAGTAGAGTAAGACGAGAATGAAAGTGAGCAGGTTATCTAAATTCTTTAGCACCTCCAAGTCTTCCTAAACTCACCTATGTCCTGTAAACGAAAGCCTGCTCGTACCTCTGAATGCTACATACTCGGAAGCATACACCTTTCTGGCAATGTTATCATGCCAGTTTGTGAATCTTGCAGTCCTTATGGTATTCAAAATGTATTTGAGATGCATAACACTCAATATATTAGAATTTGTTGCTTGATTTTTATTCCTGAAATTTTAGTAATTATTCTTCAGAGTCTGAGCTCTGCCCTGAAAGATACAGAGTTCTCCTCTGGCATGGGAAAGTTTTTTTTTGGAATATCACTGAGAAACTCTTATCAGTGCAAATTTATCAGAAACCAAGCCATCATTACTGACACCATTTTGATTCAGAAATGAATTTCCTCAGGACAAGCTTTTATTCACTTCACATTTTGTTGAACTTCAAAAATTCTTTGGAATGGTTTTCACATACAACACACATATACACTTTTTTTTTTTTTAATGATAGCAGCCTAGTAATGGTCATTTGATTTCTTAGTAGCAAGCTAAAATGTAATGAATGTCTGCCCTCTTGGGGAGAAATGTGGCACTACCACTCTTGTTCTTGAGAAAATGTGCATTCCATAAGGATTCCGAATTCCCTAAATACAATTAACAGATTAAAAGAGTTGGAAGGGACCTTATAGGTCATCTAGTCCACACACACATACCCGCTCAAGCAGGAGACCCTACACCATTTTTGACAAATGGCAGTCCAATCCCTTCTTGAAAGCCTCCAGTGATGAAGCTCCCACAACGTCTGAAGACAAGCTGTTCCATTAATTGATTGTTCTCACTGTCAGAAAATTTCTCCTTATTTCCAGTTTAAATCTCTCCTTGGTCAGTTTCCATCCATTATTCCTTGTCTGGCCTTCAGGTGCTTTGGAAAAACAGCTTGACCCCATCCTTTCCGTGGCAGCCCCTCAAATATTGGAACACTGCTATCATATCTCCCCTGGTCCTTCTCTTCACTAGACTGACCATGCCCAGTTCCTGTAACCGTTCTTCATATGTTTTAGTCTCCAGTCCCCTAATCATTCTGGTTGCTCTCCTCTGCACTTTTTCTAGAGTCTCAACATTTTTTTATAGTGTGGTGACCAAAACTGGATGCAGTACTCTAGGTGTGGTCTTACTAAGGCTTTATAGAGTGGTATTAGTACCTCACTTGATCTTGATTGTATCCCTCTGTAATACAATTTAGGATTGCATTGGCGTTTTTTGGCTGCCGCTGCGCATTGCTCGCTTATATTTAGCTGGTTGTCCACTAAGACTCCAAGATCCTTCTCACAGTCACTGCTATTAAGTCTGGTTTCACCCAGTTTGTATGTGTACTTTTGGTTTTTCTTACCTAAGTGTAGGATTTTACTTTTCTCTACATTAAATTTCATTTTGTTAGATAGTTTTCAAGCCTATCTTCTAGGGTGTTAGCTATTCCTGCCAGCTTGCAAATTTGGTAAGTTCCCCTTCTATTCCCCCATCTAAGTCATTTATGAAAAAGATTTAGATGATAGGTTCCACCGAGATTTGAACTCGGATCGCTGGATTCAGAGTCCAGAGTGCTAACCATTACACCATGGAACCACAAAAGTGCAGCCATGTTCTCTTCTTTATAAAATGTGTTTTTTTTTAAAAAAAGTAATAGAATCACATTTTCCAAATTACTCTTTGTGAAGAGTGAAAACACAAGTAAATTTTTCAGTAGGTTTTTTTGTTGTTTTAGATATATAGAGAATACAATCTTTACAAATCCTTTTGTAAGAATTCTTGTTATGTGTAGCCAAGTAATATACTTTGTTCATTTTTTTGAAACTTGTATCAGTAGACAACTATGCTAAATGCCTAGAAGTCAGAAACTGCTGCTTTGAATGGGTATAGCTTCTATTCCTCTAGGCAACAAAGCATCACAAAGGAACCTTCAATAGATCTCTACATTTATATGCATCTATAGGCTCCTTCTAATGAGAGGTCATCTTCTTTGATGCCTGCACAGCAACAAAAAATGGTTAGAAACATCAAGTGTCAGTGATAGACTGCTATGCAACTCCCTACCACAAAGTTGGTTAATGAACAATTTTAAGAAGAAAATATCAGGGGTGGGTTCTACTTACCTTTACTACCAGTTCACAATGGGGCAGAAGCATTTTCATGACGTCAGGGTCAGTGGGCGGGGCCTCCCGCCAGTTTTACTACTGGTTCTATAGAACCGGTGCGAACGGGGGCAACCCACCACTGGAAACTATATATATAAAATCATGGTCAAATTAACTATGGCAGCTAGCAATGTCTCTCTACATACCACTTATTCGAAATGGCTGTTGATTTCTATCCTGCTTGTGAGCTTCCTACAGACATCTGATTGACTAGCGTGGAACACATTGCATTAATAGGATTTTTGATTGGATAGAGTAAAGCTTATTTCATTCCTCTGGAGGTAAGAAGCCAATAAATTGATGTGCTCTGTTTGGTATCATGTTGGTACCAGGAACAACAACTCAAGAGAATTAAGATGCTATTTTTAGTTTATTAGGACATTCCCATTTAAAATGCTGATAACAGCTACAAAGAGAACAAACATTTATTAGCATTGGAGCCAGCCAATCTATGTATGGTTGGTCTTTGTGACCACATTTCTATACAAATATGTTTAATTGTTCCTGTATAGAAATAGATTTTGAATAAGTATCAGAACTTGCTGGATCTTTAAAATCTCCACAGATATCTGTAACTGACTCTATGGCAGCCACAGAAAAATATCTGGAAATGAAAGTCACAGCAAGACATAAGAGACTTAAGCAATACATAAAGGGAGACAGAATACTTCTTTGGAAAGATTATTTCATGTACATTGCACCATAAATCTATACAAAATAATCCTTTACAAACTTAAGTTTTGTACTTGTAAAATACACATACATAATAGATTTAGCTTTCATTTATAATTCTGATTCGGAGGATTTTCCCGAGCTTTGGAGTAAAAGAATGCCACAACTGTTTCAAAATTATTGTCACTTAAAAAAAAAAAAAAAAACAGACCAGTGCTGTGAATTAAATGTAAACAACAAATGCTATCTAACCAATAGGGGGTGCTCTTGACCATGTATCTTTCAGTAATATCATTTAGAAGCCAATGAGTTTCAGAATAGCCTTGAATTTGCAAAAACAGATTTAATTTGCTTAAGGTAGTTTATATTTCAGTTCATACACTGTACTAAGATTTAGTTTTGACTTAGTGTGTCATTAAATATAG